CGTTCCGGTCCGGTCCCGGTAAATCTTTTTTAATTAAAATAAAAAATAATATTTTTGTCATTATTTACTTTTATTAGCATTTCTTTTTTGTTTATTTAATTTTTTTAAAATTACAAACTTAAGTTATTTAACTTACAAGTTATAAGTATAACTTAATAACTTATAAACTTCAAAAGATTCAAATCTTTAAAACTTATAACATAACTACATAAGCTCAAAAACTAAAAAAAAAACTTTATTAAACTCAACTTACAAACTTATATACGTAAAAATTAAAAAAAAAATCTTTAAAATAAACTTAAGTAAAATTATTATAAATTTTAAAACTTAAATACTATAAACTAATATAACTTAGAAAAATAAAAAAAACATTCATATTTTCGTAATTCAAAATAACTCAAAAAAAATAATTATTTTTTGAAATAGCTATATGTGCCGTCCCGTTTATCCCATCCCGTTCCGTTCCGGTCCATTCCGGTCCGTCCCGGTTCTATCCCGGTATTTAGTGGGACGTGACGGAACTGAGCCTCCATCCCGATAGTTCCGGTCCGGTTCATCCCGGTACCGGTCAACAACCCGGTCAAACCGTCCCGGTTCGTTCCGGTCCGGTGCCCAGCCTTATTTATTGCTATGTTGAAATTTGTTATAAGAGTATTATGTTAAATTTTTTGTTTTGAATTTATAACTTATGTTATATTTTCAGTTTCATTTGTTTTAGTAATATTGAATTTACATTGCATGTCATTTTTTAATTAGACTTGATAGATTATATTTTTGTCAAACATTTAATACTTTATGATATTTTATTTATATATTGCTATTCTTTTTATCAAACATGCATTTGTCAATGTTCGTAGAAACTTCATACTTTCAGTTGTTACGATCAATTCAATTGAAATATATTAATTTGAAAAAATATAAATCAATTATTTTTTATATTAGCTACAGTAAATATGTTTATTAATTAATATATTTTTGAAAAAATAATATATATCTTAAATATTTAATTTAATGTCATTTATAAAATTTCTTATTTGACATGCTTTTACAATTCACTTAATATGAATTTGAGAAAATATTTACAGTCCATATAATCTCCTAATTAATAGAGTAGAAAAGTTGCGTAAGTTGGGTACACCTAAAGTAATTGAGCTAAACTAAGTAGCATAGAAGAAAAATTACTAGTCTATCTATTACTAGGAATTAATGTGAATTAACAAGTAACAAACCAGAATAATCCTATTGATACTTAAAATTCTTATTTGTACCAAGTAAATTATAACATAGGAAATAATATATATATTATTTGAAAGTTATATATAAAATGTATTACATATAAATAATAACTTAAAATAGATTTTTTTTTCAAAGGGATAAGCTTGCGGAGAAGAAAGCTCAATCCTCATCTCTCTCCCAAAGAAAAATACAAAAGAGAACATAACCCCAATAAAAACCTACACACATATATTTAAAGAGATAAGGGGAGCCTTTTTTTTCTTCTATCTAATTGTAACTGAAGAGAAATGGAATTTCCCATCATTGTCTTGTTCATCTCACTATTTTTCACTTGGCTCTTCATCAAACTAACTAAATCCACGAAGAAGCTGCTACCACCTGGTCCTACTGGCCTTCCAATAATCGGCTCACTCCTCCAACTCGGCTCAAAACCCAACCAATCACTAGCCGAGCTAGCCAAAATCCACGGCCCTCTCATGACTCTAAAGCTCGGCTCGATCACCACAGTTATAGCTTCCTCCCCCGAAACAGCCAAAGAAATCCTCCAAAAACACGACAAAACATTATCGGCCCGCATGGTTCCCGATGCGGTCACATCCCAACCCAATCCAGAAGCCACGTTGGCATGGGTTCAGTCCGACAACATGTGGAGGAACAAGAGAAGAATATTGAACACGCAAATGTTCACTAATCAAAAACTCGATTCGCTACAACAACTCCGCCACAAAAAAGCTGAACAACTTGTGTGTCATATACGAAAACTATGTGAAAATGGCTCCTCCGTGGATATAGGACGCGTGGCGTTCGCGACCATGCTGAATTTAGTGTCGCGCACTATTTTCTCGATTGATTTGGTAGATCCGGAATCTGACATGGCTCAAGAGTTTAAGGATTTGGTTTGGACAATCAATGAATATGCTGGTAAGCCTAATTTGTCTGATTATTTTCCGGTTCTAAAGTGGTTAGATTTGCAAGGGGTGAGGCGTCATGTAAGACCAGCGTACATAAGGTTGCATCAGATATTTGATCAACTTATTGAGAAGAGATTAGATGATAGAGCGTCTACTCGGAAGATGAAGGTAGCTGGAGATTTTTTGGATGTACTTCTTGATCAATGTGAAGATAAAGGGTCTGGATTTGATCGCAAAACTATCAAGCCAATTATCGTCGTAAGTGTTTGTTACACATAATTAAAATTCCTTATAAGAAGATTCATTTATTTAAATTACATATTGTAGATCATGTAGTTTAACCAGTAATAGTAGATTAAGTATCATAAGACACAATTTTTACCGTGGTACGGTCAATTGACCTACATCCGATGAACAATATAAATATGATAGTACAAAATATATAGAGAAATATAACCTTAACCAATTCACTCAGAATACAAGGAAGTCACATAAGTGATAACATATCACTTGTGTCCTACAAATTCTCCTCCTAAACAAAATACTCAGACCCCTAGGCCTACATTGTGAATGTTGATTAAGTCAGAAGGAATGAATCTCTATTTATAGAATCCTGAACCTTTTTCTACAAGAAAAAAAGATTAGTCAAATATGAAGACTTCATGGTTTCCTTTTAAGAAAATGAAAATCTATTTACGGTAAGAAACTCAGGGTAGATACCCAACACTTACTACATCTGTGTGCTATTGACAGGATTTATTCGTTGCTGGAAGTGATACATCGGCCATAACAACAGAATGGGCAATGACAGAACTTCTTCGAAAACCTGAAGAACTCAACAAAGTACGACAAGAAATTATCCAACAAATTGGCACAGAAAGGGCAGTTAAAGAATCAGACATGGACAAACTCCCATACCTTCAAGCAGTTGTAAAAGAAACCATGAGACTTCATCCAGCAGCTCCATTACTCTTACCTCACAAAGCCCAACACGACGTACAAGTGTTGGGCTTTACCGTACCCAAGGACAGTCAGATTTTCGTGAATGCTTGGGCTATTGGAAGAGATCCCAAGTATTGGGAAAAACCACTAGAGTTTCTGCCTGAAAGATTCATGGAATCTAGTGTGGATTACAAAGGTAGGGACTTTGAGTTTATACCATTTGGCGCGGGGAGGAGGATTTGTCCAGGAATGCCGTTGGCTATAAGAATGGTGAATTTGATGTTGGCTTCGATGATTCAACCATTTAATTGGAAGTTACCAGATGGAATGGCGCGGGAGGAATTGGACATGGAGGAACAGTTTGGAGTTACCTTAAAGAAGGCTATTCCTCTTGTTGCAATTCCTTGTATGAAAGAAAATAAGGTTATATTTTAAGTCTTTATGTTTTATGAGTTTCGTTAGAAGTATATTTATGTAAGAAGTAATAAATTTTAATGCACTACAAGCTCATGTATCAACATTTTTATGGCTACTCATTAGTTAAGAAGGGGTGTGTGATTTGCTTAATTTTGTAGAAGATTTTTTTTATTGTTAACTTGCTTCAGTTTTTCTAAAATGAGAAAAATAAGAATATTGTCTGAAAATTTTATCAGGATCTTTTGTGGCCAGAATGACTCTGGATCTGACTTGTTGTTGGCCTTTATCAGGGATATTTTCGGTGAAACCTAGGTAATTAAACATTTTTTTTAAAGAGGAAATTTCAAATTTTCAATTTGCTATTTAGAATGAATATATCTCATTAAAATTGCGCTTTATATATATCTTTGTCATTACACAAATAAACTCATATATACTATATTTTCGGCTAACAAGAGTGAAACAATTGATTTTGAATTTATTATTTAAACTTTTCTATTAAAATAGAATTCATATTAGGGTATAATTTTTACCCTTCTTGAAAAGTTCATGGTAATTTTGATCCCTTCATTTTTTTTTGTTGAATTTGACTTAACATGAAATTTAAGTAAATAAAGAAGACTTTTGAATTTATTGTTTTAATTAATTAAGAATATGTAGAATGTTAAAATATTTTTAAATCTTATGGTCTTAAATATGTTAGAAAAATGAAATTTAAAAATTATCAAAAAGAAAAGAAATATTCGTTTTTAAAACCAATTTATAGTTAATTAGGTAATCGTTTTCAAGCCAGAAAAAATTGAAAACGGGAATTCTCATTCAGTGTCCCTTGAATAAGAGTATTCACAGTGGGGTATTCTCATCTTAGTCGTCTTTTGAACTCTTTTCTACTTATTTTATTTTAAATATATATAATTTTATTTTAAAAAAACTTCATAACTATACAAATATTAAACAATAAATTTTGACACTACACTAAATATAATTTTAATTAATTAACGATAATAACTTAATTGCAGCTAAATATGTTCTTTTAGTGGCAATAACACTCTTAATAAATGTTTTTAAAGCCTTTAGCGAGGATCCAATGACAATTAACTAATTAATGCTAGTAAAGTCTTTATCACTCTTTGTTAATATGCATATATGTTGCCGCTAAAAATTATTTTTATGATAGTGGGAGAGCATAAGTAAATATAAAATCAAGTTTACTGATGCAAAAATCAAATTTCTCTTTGGATAGAACAATTAAGTAGACAAGGGCAATGTCCAAAAGTTCCTTAATAATTTCAAGTTTCTTGTTTCCAATTTTTTTTAAAATACAAATGAGCCAAACATTACATAAATACACTTGTCACAAATCACAATCACATTAATAAGGTAAAGAAAAACAATTGCAAATTAAATCAAAAGAAAATTATTTTACTTACATACTAGGAACTGCAACAAGAGGAACAGCTTTCCTAAGCTAACTCCAAATTCGTTCCTCCATGTTCAATTCTCCGGATCCATTCCATCAGGTAACTTCCAATTAAATGGTTGAATAATAGAAGCCAACATCAAATTCACCATTCTTATAGCCAGTGGAATTCCAGGACAAATCCTCCTTCCCGCGCCAAATGGAATAAACTCAAAATCCCTACCTTTATAATCCACGTTAGATTCTATGAATCTTTGAGGCAGAAACTCTAGTGCCCTTTCCCATGACTTTGGATCTCTTCCAATTGCCCATGCATTCACGAAAACTTGACTGTCCTTAGGCACGTTGAAGCCTAATACTTGTATGTCATTTTGGGCTTTGTGTGGTAAGAGTAATGAAACCGCTGGATGAAGTCTCATGGTTTCTTTTACGACTGCTTGAAGATATGGGAGTTTGTCCATGTCTGATTCTTTAACTGCTCTTTCTAGCCCTATTTGTTCGATTATTTCTTGTCGTACTTTGTTGAGTTCTTCAGGTTTTCGAAGAAGTTCTGCCATTGCCCATTCTGTTGTTATGGCTGATGTATCACTTCCGGCAATGAATAAATCCTGTCATGCCACAAACGATATTAACTTCATATACCTGTTTCAATTTATGTGTCTTTATTAGTTCTTTCTGAAGAATAATTGATGTATTTCAAAATAATTAATTTTATACTTTTTGTTTTAATGTTACAAGAACTATTCATTTGGTTTATGAGTATTTGATTCAAATTATATAAATTTAGTATATATCCTTGGAAAGAAATAAGCTTACTATAATAATCTGTTCCATTCCCAAAGTACCACTAGTTAGATAATAAAATCATTTGATTAATCTGGAATTCTAATTAGATTGCAACTTGCATTTCTTAATTATTTATTCTTAATATATCATAATTTACTTTCCATTTTACAGGCAGTTGGGAAGCAATTTGACCCCTACTCCTGTTGTTTTTGTATTTTCTTTAGTGATTCGTAAAAATGACACACCTAAGATATCTAAAATATAAGTGCACCTGCTAGCCATCGTGGAACCTAGGGCCGGCTGCTCTCTTCTCTTCTGCGAACTATGTCGCCTTGAAGTAAATTCATGATAGCTGCATCCTCTCCCCAGCCTATGGTTGTGGGAGAGCCAAACACTAGTTCTAATCTAGAAGCAACTTATGCCGCACGTTTAAATTCAATCCAAACCGGACAAAACTTGAAAAAAAACAAAGCTGAAATCTATAGATATCATTCATGGAGAACCTACAATTACATTCACAGTGGAAGAGATAAATCAATACACTATGGAAGAAGGTCCACATCAAGCTCTAGTACTATTCAAGTTTTCACACGATCCAATTAATATGCAAGATGCACGAAAGTTGCTGCCTATACAACTAGGAACTCAAGGTCGCTGCCTTGTCGGATGGCTTGCGCATCGACATATTTTGGTGAGATTCGATAGATATGATGATTATGGATTAGTTGTGGCTAAAACTGTTCAGTACCTTTTGTACAATGGTTTACAAAAGCAATTTAGAGAATTTTCATGGACAATTGGCTTCAATCCGAAAGAAGAGACATCAAGAGCTTTTGTTTGGATATCTTTTCCAAACTTGCCGCCAGAGCTTTTTGCAAAACAATCCTTAATTACTGTCAATTGCCTCGGCTGCTGGTAAGCCAATAGCTGTTGATAAAGCCACTCAAGATTAGTCGAGACCTAGCACGGCTAGAGTTAAAGTCGAACTTGATTTACTAGCGAATTTGCCACATTAAATGAGAATTCAATATGTCAACGAGAAAACAGGAAAAAGTGTGGAGCAATTTCAGAAGTTTAATCTGCCATTTTATTGCAACTATTGTAAGCACTAAGGCCACAACGAAAGTGAATGTCGACTATTATTGGGAAATAATGCAGGAAGAAACCAAGAAGAAGCATCGAAAGTAGGATCTGAGATTTAAAAATATCATGGTGATGCTCGGGAGATATTAGATGAAAAGAGGGCTGGAAATAAATCCCTCGTGGTTGATAAAAGTGGTGTCCACGATCAGGTAGTTGAGCCACGAAATTTGGAGTGTCAAACTAAAGAACATTCTGGACAGCTCTTAGGCAGACCAGTTGCGCACAAATCGGCTTCAGGGGATCAAAGTTTAACCACTCGAAAAACTTTGGTCCTAGAGTCGCAAGTTGATTTTGGGCAGCAATTAAATAGCAACACTGTTGATGATGTGAGACTTGGCATTATAGATACCGTAGAAAAAAGCGTTAATAACGAAAGTGGAAAAAATGGTTTTCTGCAAATTGATTCTAAGATTGTTGATGATGTCCATTCATCGGGGAATAAAGTTGGACCTACTGAAACATTGGAGAAAAAATTGAATGAAAATCAACTTTCTTTGACTACAAATCCCACTCTAGCTCACATTGATGATGAGGGCCAAAATAATGCAGCTACAATAGTGGCGTCGACGATAGATGATGAGCAGCAACTAAATGGAACCAGAGGTGACGTAGGGCTTTTTGAAAAATCAGGACATCCTTTGGTAATTAATGCAACCGTAGAGTTGGCATTAGATCCCAAGAGTGCGAAGGTAGTGGCAGATGGAGTGAAGCATGATGCTCGGGGTATTGAAAGTGTTGAATGCTTGGTTGACAACATGTCGCAGCAGGTCAACAATGTCAATAAAAAAATTGAAAGTGATGTCGGAACTAATTCAATCGCCTTGATGAATGCCAAGAGTACAGGTAAAGGAGTGGAACTATTACATGAATCTAATTGGGTTGTGGTGACGAAGAAAAAATCTCCAAGTATTGTAATTGGTTCGCCTATTCGTAACACAGTGCAACCGGTTGTAGATAGTCAAACTATGAATCCAGGTGCTCGAGAAATTGTTCCAAAGGAGATCTTGTGTTTTAACACTTTTGATGCTCTTACGAATAATATTGTGCATGAGATCAATTCATCTCAAGTTAACTCTACAAATGAATTAGTTATTTCTAAGGAACAACAGGGTGCGACAAGTACTCCGAGGTGGGCAGATATACCAGATGAAGAGGAAGAACAAGTCAATTCCCCTCATATGCAAAAGAAATTGAGCCCAACTGGCCTGCTTTTGTGTCTAGTGGTGCCAAGTTAGTAACTCCCCGACAAGGTTTGTCATTATCAACAAATGTTGTTGCAATCTTAAGTGATCATTTGGTGAGTTCTAATAATAAAAAAATGGTTTCTCTTACACCTATTAACACTAACAAACAACTACAATTTGGTGTTAGTAGTACTTTGTCCCCAAATAAATTTGCTAATCTAGATGATGAGGACATCTATGAGGAAGGTGAGGAAGAGGAAGAGGAAATGTTGGATTATTGTTTTGCAATTGCAGCTAGAAATGCTGATGTTTCTCCTAGGCAACAACAAAATGAAGCATGGAAGAAAACATAGTTGGGATGGTAAAGTGAATGAGGAGTTTGTTCCAAGGCACCTATCGATACGACTGATGAAACAGAATCATATGATAGTGTCAATAACTTTAACAAGATCCAATACAACCAAGAAGTGATGAACTATCAAGTGTTATTGGACAAATTTGAAGAAGAAGACAAGAGAAACATACTTCAAGTTCCTTTAGAAGGCCAATCTATCTTTCTTAGTTCATACATTTGTAAAAGAAAGTTTGAGGTTGATAACTCAACTTTCTCCTTGACTTTTATGATTTTTTATTACTTAAGAATCCCCATTTGTAATATCATCATAGAGTGTCTTTATGATGATCATAGAATATCTAGTGCTCTCTAGCTCGTATTTTCTTCATGGTTGTTAATTGATAGATGATAGATATCTCATTAGGATTGGTAAGGTAAGACCTAGCATCCCCTACTTGTACTTATTCCTATTGAGAATTTTTTATGTTTATTATTAATAAATGGTCTAGTGGTATAAATTTGCTAAAAAAAATAAAAATAAATAAATAATATATATATATATATATATATAAGTGCACTATAATAATAAAAAAGAACATAATATATTCTGTTGAAAATGCTTCCTGATCCTCTAGTAGATAACTTAATTTTGACTGAAGTGCATTATTTGATTTTTTTTATAACATAAATATCAAAAAATAAAATTATTTTAATTTTTTTTTAAATATAAAATATTTAGTTATATCGAACTAATATTAGTTTACGTCTCCCATATTCTTGCCTATAAATTTTCCCCTGGAGAGATGAATTCACTTGATATTAGTAAAAGAGAGAATTAATAAATATTTAATCCTTCAACACTAATTATTTACAAATGCTTAATATTTTGTACTACTCCTATTTATTCAAAACTTACCTATCAGAAGTCTTTTTCATTTCTTAAGTTTTGCATCCAATCAATTCACTACTGTATGATGATAACTTGCTTTCAAGACCAAGAAAAGTATGTTTTCTTTATAACCACATATAGTCTAGATATTTCATATCTGTTACATTAACGCTAACGTTTGGTACGGGTTTTTCCAAATATTTTTTTCAAGTTATATTTTTGGTGAAGTTTTAATATGCACAAGTATAATCATAACAAATTTCACATAATTATAAGCTTCAAAATTTTAAACGTCTTTCTTAAATTGCATTACGTATTAATATTTTTCTCTCACCTCTCAAAATCATCCCAAAAATAACCAATTTCTTTTTTTCATGAGATGAATATATTTAGAAAAACTCAAAATCCAAAGTTAATGAGAATTTTTTTTTTAATATGTCAAAGTTAGCTGATAGTTATTGCTGATGAGAGATGCAGATATCCATGAAAAATTAATCAACATGCGCATAAACTGACTTGTTATAAAAAATTTAAATAAAAGAAATACTTACCACCATAAGAGGCTTGATGGTTGTACCAAATCCAGACCCATCATCTTCACATTGATCAAGAAGTATATCCAAAAAATCCCCTTTTTTCTTCATCCCTGCAGCTCTAGCTTCTACTCTCTTCTCAATATTTTCTTCAAATATTTCATGCAACCTTAAATACGCTGGCCTTATACGCCTCCGTACTCCTTGCAAATCTAACCACTTTAAAACCGGAAAAAAATCCGACAGATTCGGTACCCCGGCATCTTCCATAATCGTCCATACCAATTCCTTAAACTCATGAGCCTTCTTAAATTCCGGATCCACCATATCGATCGAAAAAATCGTGTTCGATATTAAATTCAACGTGGTTGCGAACGCGACCCGTCCAATATCAACAGCCGATCCACTCTCACACTGGCTCCTTATATGGCTCACTAGTTGTTCCGCCTTTTGGTGACGAAGTTCTTGAAGCAAATCAAGCCGTTGATTATTAAACATTTGCGTACTGAGAAACCTTCTCTTTTTTTTCCACATGTGATCGCCGTTAACCCATGCCAACGTGGCTTCAGGGTTCGGCTGAGCAGCTACGGCTACAGGGACGATACGAGCTGAGAAAGTTTCGTCGTGTTTGTGGAGAATCTCGTTGGCTACTTCGGCTGAGGAGACTACTATGGTGGTGAGTGAGCCGAGCTGTAGAGTCATGAGAGGGCCATGTTTTTTGGCTAGCTCGGCTAGTGATTGGTTAGGTTTTGTACCTAGTTTTAAGAGTGAGCCGATTATTGGGAGGCCAGTAGGTCCTGGTGGTAGTTTTTTGGATTTAGAATTGATATATGGCTTGATGAGGAACCAGAAAAATGAGATAAAGATAATAACAAGGATTGGGAGTTCCATATTTTTGCTAAGTAAGGGACATGATAGGCAAAAGAATGATGTACACTTTATATAGAGCGTAGACTTAGCTAATGGTTGAGGGTAGTTAGGAAATTTTATCATGTTGAAATATTTGCACGTTGTGGAAACTTTCACTCATTAACTTTTTATTTTTTCAAGTAAAATATATATCCAAACATAATTTTAAATTTCAAAAATCATAATTCTAAAAACACGAATGTCAACTTTAAAATCAATGGCCAAATAGGAGGCTCAATCTTAGGGAAAATTGCTATATATGGAGAATGTGAATATTTATTATTAGTTGTTTATTACTTGAAAGTGTTTTAAGTTGTTTACTCCTCTATCTATCTAGGGGGTTTGTAGTCTGGTTTGGATCGGTTATTAGTCAAAATCAAAATCAAATCAATCTAGTCGGTTTTTTAAAATTTCTAAAACCAAATCAAACTAAACAAAAAAAATAGTCAGTTTGGTTCAATTTTTCTGATTTTTTTAGTTTGAAAGTAATAAATTTTTTGAGCTATCTCGATAGACACAAAGTAGTACATGAACAATTCACGGGAAAGTTATTGTCGGTTCAATTAAGCAATTAAGCAATACTAGAGTTATTATTCAACGAACAAAGTAATTCAATTAAGAGAAAATGTAACTATCTTATGTGAGGTAGGCCATAGGTAAAAACTGAAGTAATGGATTTTGATGGACTTGGACTTAGGATTGTAATAGTTAAAGCTAACATTTAAGTGTTGAGATTGAGAAAATTGTAAAGTTAAATACTTAAGTTGATCAAAATTTAACAAAATATTTATATTTTATTTATGAATAATATATAAATAATTATAAAATATACATATCTAATTTATCGATTTGATTTGGTTATTTTGCAGTTATTATTTAGTAAAACTAAAACCAAACCAAATAGTATCGGCTATCAAAATTTAAAATCAAGCATAACCAAATCAACCAAATATAGGTTTTTAAAATTGGTTTGATTCGAATTGCTGTTCGTTTTGATTTTTTAATCATAACCATGAACAGTCCTATCTCTATCTCAGTTTTAGTCGCATTTTCCAGGTATATTGAGAGTTGAAAAACTTTTGTATTGTAATTTTTTCAAATTTTATTTTATTAAATTATTAATTATTGTGAATTACTATATTTTTTTATGTTGTTTCATAAATGTTAATTTTTTAATTTTTTTTTTTAAAGCTTCTATATTCATATTCACTGTCAAAAGTAGAAAACTTAACTCTTTAATAATTGAACTATGTTATATATATATAAATTGGGATATATAAAATAATACACCATCAATATATATAAATATCATTTCATTACCAAGTCCTGTTTTATTTTCCAACTTATAAAACATCATATTTTTAAAAATCTTCCCTATAATTTGGATGATATAATTATATAAACAATTGTGTACACCAATAATATGTATATGACTTAAAAGATAAAACTATATTGGAAATATTCATGGGACCGGAATCATGAAATGTGAGTGCACGACGACTGGTTAGCTGTAGTAACCAAATATTATACCTTCAACTTGCTGACTCGTGTCTTCTTATTATGTAATTCTCTCAAGTTGGAGTATGTAAATTATATTTGTTTCGTTTCAATTTATGCAAAATAATTTGATTAAAATATATAAATAAGTGAAGTGAGTTGAGAAAATAATTAAGTTTCGAGAACAAGTCTAGGAAGATAAGTTTTGAAGTTGACTGTTTGCATGTTTGACAACGTGGCCCACTTGACACATGCCCCCATATTATAATTAAAAAAACGTAAAATTTTGATGTGGGTATCTTTTAGAATGATATATAAAGAATAGGAGAATTTAGATATTTTGTGGGGTTATTCGTTTTTGTGTTCGTTTATAAAAAGATTATACATTGATTTTTTAATGTAAATTTTTTTTATCATATTGTTCTACTAATTAATGGTCCGTAATAATTATAATTTTCTCTATATATATATATATTTTTTTTAAAAATTAAAAATATATTATTTTTTTAAATCACTTTGTTCTATTCATGTGTTTCTCGTTATAATAATCAAATTGTTTGCATTTACTTCGTAGTTTAATTTATATTTTTATCTTGATTGTCAAGAATGCATTTTCATGTTCAAAATAACTCATGTTTTTTAATTGATTATTTTTATTTAAATCAAACATCATCAAGACATAGTATATTGCAGCTAAATTTTTAACTTTTACCAAAAAATATCGTTGGAACGAATTTATCATATTTATTAGTAATGATTAAATTCTTAGATAAATGCAAACATTTTTTTTTGAAGTATCCTATATATAACTAGATCATTTTTTTTATATTATCATATATTTTCTAAAAGTCGACGAAAACCACAATACAAAAATAAAAATAAAAAGTTAAAGTGATAAAAAAATCTGACTTAATTAATTTGACTTGATTTCAACATTTGAAAAAAATAAATAAATTAATTTAATTGGAAAATGGTCCAAATTAAATCACGGCTAATCGTACCAAAAATATTAAGTTTCAACTTTTGATAAATAAATATAATTCATACGAAAAAAGTAAAATTTAAAAAAACAACGGAAAAAAAAGAAGAAAATATGGAATAGGAGAAAGAGAATAAAAAGATGAAGCCTTTTAGCCCCTATTTTTTGTAGTGGGACCCAAACTACACTTGGCAAAGTATGAGAGGATCTCATACAAGTATGGTCTGTCATGTAATATTTGTGTCTCTCACGGAATAAATTTTTTCTAGGCCAAAGTCATCCGCGGCCCCTCAGAGTTGTCCTCATTATTCATTTAGACACCTCAACTATACCTAGTACCTATTAAACACTTAAATCTTAACAAATTTATACCTATTTAACACAAAATAATAATCAATAAAAAGACAAACATGCGTGCATCTCAAACGAGAAAATGATCAAAATGGTCCTTAATGTATGGGCTTTGATTCCATTTGGTCCTTAATGTATGGAGTTGATGGAAATGGTCCTTTATGTATCATAAATTGTGATCAATTTGGTCCTTTAACCCTAAAATTTTAATGGCAGCAATTATTTAAAATTTTTTACTAAAAATCGCTACACGTGGAGCGATTTCCCATTATTTTTTAAGCAGTCCTCACCTCGGGAATTTTTAATAAAAAAAAAATTGAACTTTTTAAAGAAAATGGCTGCTATAGCAGCTATTTCTATTTTTTAAATGTTGCTGGGACAACGTTGTTAAAAAAATAAATTCACAACAGCGGTTTTAAAGAAAAAAGAATTTTTTTTTGGACCGGCAGCGATTTTTATGTTTTTTAAAGGAGTAACAACGTCAATTTTGTCAGAAGAAAATCGCTCCGTCAGAAGCGATTTTTGCCCTTTTTAGGTTAAAAAAAAATTGATGTGTCATTTTGGATTTTTTGGAAACAGGGGAAGGAAAGTCTTGAACGAGTGCATCTTTTACATATTCCGTGTATTTTGATGGCAAAATAAAATAAAATATTAATTTTAGGGTTAAGGACTAAATTGATCACAATTTATGATATATAAAAGACCATTTTCATCAAGTCCATACATTAAGGACCAAATGGAATCAAAGCCATACATTAAGGACCATTTTGATCATTTTCTCCATCTCAAACACACAAACATACTAAATAGACCAATGAAATAATGACACGTGTCAATTGGATTAACTTATTTTTAAAATTTTATTTGAATAATTCAAAAGGAATTTTAAAAAGAAAAACCAAAAATTATTTTTGAATTAACCCATCCCCACCCCCACCCCACCCCACCCCACTATTCTTCTTCATCTTCTCCATCAGAACTAATTTTCCTTTGCACTGGGCCGTTGTTTCTCAATCGTCAGTATACCATCGCCTCCCCTTTCTTCTTCATCGAATCTTATTCCTTTCACCGACATCGATAATACACCATTGATGTCCAGTTAAGCTACCCCTCATTCACCTTTCATTTTAATAGCATTACATCTTCCATTCATTGTCTTCATTTTCTTTTCACTACTAATCATTTATCACAATTATAAGAAAACTTTTGTCGGATGGCAGAAGATGGAATAGTTGAAGATGGCAGAAGATGGAATAGTTGAAGATGGCAGAAGATGGAATAGTTGAAGATGGCAGAAGATGGAATAGTTGAAGATGGCAGAAGATGGAATAGTTGAAGATGGCAGAAAGCTTCCTTCGTTTTCTTTTTTTAATTAATTGTTATTATTATTTATTTGTTTAGATGTATAGGTTGGAAAGAAAATAAAAAATATATATTTTTAATTGATTTACGCGCTTTAGGAGAGTGATGTACACGTTTTTTTGCCATGTCAGCGTTTTTGTGTCTAATTGACATCACTTTTGAGCAGATAAAGTGTTCAATAGGTACAAACCTTAGTTGAGGTGTTCAAGTGAATTATGCGGACAACTTTAGGTGGCCGTGGATGACTTTGGCCTTTTTTCTATATCATATAGTTCCATGTTTTTTATCTTGGTGGCTAAAATTTTAAAATAAATTTTACTATGGTAAGACTCAATTCATTTTATTTTTCAGTTCTTTCATTACATTTTTTGTTTGTTAGGGTTTTGTTATGATTTTCTTACCTTATTTTAAGTTTATTTTTTCCTAAAAAAAAAAGACAAAACATTACCATAAATATTTTAACTTTTTCTTGAAAGAAAAATATAATTTTCTTTCATATTTGGTTTATTATTTTCTTAGAGAAAAAGTTTGGAACTCTATAAATTGAAGACTTCTCTTCTCATACCAAAAACACAAGAACATCCACAATATAGTTAATAAAGAGTTTTGTTTATGAGAAAATTTTCCTTCAACAATTTTAATATTTTTTTTTATTAGTTTTTTCATATGTAGGCCAATTGGCTAAACCATATAGTAATATTATGTTTTTAATCTAAGTTTTTGTCATCTGATTTATCAATATAATGATTTGCAATTGTAAGTTTCCACATGACACCCTAATCACATTCGAACCCAACAAGTGATATCAGAGCACATAGTTTAATGATCCA